AGGTCTCCCTAATAATGAAGGTTAATTGACTGGTGTGAAAGCATTGTTTCTGTAGATCTATTAAAATGAGAGTAAGTAGTAAGGAAATGAAGAAAATTGAGCTCTATAATACTTGTGCCCAAACCTTTAGTTTCATGGACCAAAGATTTTGCCTGATTTTTACTAAGAAGCTCGAACTGATAGTCTTCTCTAGCACAGCACCTAAAGATTTTGTTGTGCTGGATGTTAGCATACCTGTAATTAATTTCTTTGTGTGTCCACTATTATGCTTTTTAATCAGGCTTCATAACATTTCACAGACTCTCTTGTCCTTGGTCCCAAGCAAGTCATCAGCTTCCACCACCTCTGGTACCACCTTCTTCCCTGCCCCAGGCATACTGTCTTTTGCTTACAACCAGATGGTGGTTTTAATGAAGTTAGTTACATAATTGTTTAATATGGTTGAACAATTGTTGATCTGCATTCTTAATCAGGCAGAACAGTGATCAGGACACTGGAGGACTGCAAACATGAAGATGATTGTGATTTGTTTCTAGTCTTTTGATCTGTGGACATCAAAACTTCCATGTGCCACAATCAGTCAGCAATTATAAATTTATATGAACACTGCAGTGCCACCTGCTGTCATTGGACATAAAATGCAGAATTTCACCTCTAAAAATCTATTATTGAGTTATTTTAATATACATTTAACATACACACAGTCTACAGGCAAAATACATATCATATATCATTATAGTGTATTTATTAATAGTGTACATATATCACAAACTTGATGGCTTCATAATATTTAGTGTCAGTGTTGATGGTGTTAAAGTTACCTGCCTAATTTGCTGACTTTTTTTTTAGTTAGTAGTATATTAAGATTATTTTAACCTCTTCATGTATTTAAAGGAACACTGAAGCCACAGGAATTCATAACTTTTTGTTTATAAAAGTCCTAATACAGTTTTTCTTCAGTAACATAGATCAGATCACTGATCTGTAACTGTGCATTGGTCCTGTCTTTGCTTAAGCTTAATGTATGTGTACACGCATAGATATGTAGACAATGCACATTCTGGTATCCTTTCACTCTTGACATCTTCAATCTATTACACAGATTTGAAGCACCTTCCTTTTATTTTTCCTACTTATTTCAGCTAATTAAAACACCAAACACAACTACCACACGGTGTCACTCTAGTTCCTGTAATGAGCAAATGACCTTTGTAATTTACTATCTAAACTGGATTTCGTCTCTTAGGATAAGAGCAGCTCTTGCACACTGATTTTAGTTTTGGCAAGCAGTAGGAAGAATCTCAGTTTTTTGCACTACAAGTAGGTGACATGTGCCACAGGGGTGTTGAGACATAATAGAGAAACAAGCCCTTTGAAAAACATTTATAAGCATCTCAAAATAGGGTGAAATACAGGAATGTTTGTATTTGTCTACCTACCTACCTCTGTAAAGAACATCCTGCTCTTTTTTATTTGATTATACAGAAATCCCAAAGACATATTAAAATTTTAGTTGTAAATTATCTTCTCCCATATCCCCACCTTTTAGGGTTAGCTAGATTATGTGCTTATCCCATTACTTTGTGTTTCTAATAATAGATACAGGAAGCAGGAGAAATGATCATGCTCCCACTGGTGCAGGAAGGCCACCTCTTTCACAATATAATCAACCCTCACCACCACCTCCACCAGCAGCTGCTCTTCAGATGGAAAACATGGTAAGCATGTAGCTGGAACAGAATTGTATTTCCTAGTGACAAAAGAGAAATTCCTTGACTAGGGCTTTTTTTAAAAGAGCCCAGGTCTAAAAGGAAACATGCAGGTGGTGTGAATGGGACAAAAACCTGAATTTAATATACTCTCGAAAGATGAAAACCTGGCTTGACTTCAGACTTCTTTTTTAGTGGGGTAACACTTACAGACATTGAGGGAACTGAACTTACTGTCCTCTTATACCAACTTAGCCAGATCATCATCTAGTAGCATAGTTGTTTTGGACCTGCTCTGGACTTTCCCACTGTAAAAATGGTATCATGCTAGAGAGCAGGTTAGAACAGAGATGATGTGCATGCCTCTCTCCTGACTTTTCATTCTAATAGTAACAAATGTTATTCACACTATTTCTAGAGTTTTTAGACAAATAATTTTATATTAGACAATAGACAGTAACACCAGAGATAAAATATCTGCGAAGACATTACAATTAAAAGAGCAATTGGGATAGTCAGAAAACTGGCTATCTAAGGAGTGTAACTGTATTTTCTAGAAAGTAGTGCTCATTCTGTGTAAACTCTGGTTTCATTTCAGTTTTGTAGCCACCTGGCTCATGCAAGCACTCCTGAGACCAGACTAGATTCTGATTCTCCAGTTATCGTCACTAGCACATCAGGATCTGGTGTGACATCAACTCAAAAACCGGTAACATGCTAAAGTTAACTTTTTTCCTTTTAGGGCATAATCATAACGAATATTAGTTTGGGTGTTGCTATTTTTGTATTTCTCAGAGCAACACAGGTATGTAGTTGAATACACTGCCACAGAGTTTACAGAGCAGTATGAAGACACTAGCTTGAAAATGCTCATTTATGTTACATAAACTCATTTATTCTAGGAGCAGTTTTATATTCTTTTTGTAGGTAGGGCAGTGTGGCAAAATGAAGACTAGAAGAGTGCACTCAGGTATAGTGCAACAGGAACAATCGGTGTTTGACTTGATAATGTTTTGTTTTAGAAAGTGCTTTGTCTCATTATCCTGTTCTTTGAAATTTCTCCCTCATTCCCTTTTCTATGCTTCATGCTAAACTGCCCTCCTTTCTTTTCTGCATTTGACACAGTTTGATATCAGCTGTCAGAGAAAGATGCATTTTTGTATGCATGGGAGCTTTTTTATTATCTGCTCTGTCATTTCTAGAAAGGATTTCCACTATGATGGAAATACCTTCAGCTGTCACTTAAGCATGCAGTCAGCAAGCAAAGCTAAACTATCCATGCTTCTTGATTTTTATCAAATTAGTCTTGCTTCCCTCAGGGCAGAAGTAATTTACTTGAAATACTATTGCACAAGTAGAAAAAAAATGGAGTAATCCTGGTTGCAGCCAGGTGGAGCAAATTCAGTCCTGTGTAATGTAACTGGACTACCTGCAACATCACATGTTCCATTTAGGCATGTGGCAAATAAAACTGAGCAGAAACACATAGCATTGTAAATATTATGTTTAGAATTTTTACTAATTAGTATTTAATTTATTTATAGCCCATGGCAAAAATAATAACATCTGCACAACAGAAAGCAGGAAGAACAATCACTGCTCGAATCACAGGTCGAGCTGATATGGGACAAAAATCCAGAGCTTCTAGGAGTTTAACAGTGAGGAGAGTTGTTCCACCCATGAGTTCAGTTATTGTTGAGAAGCATCATCCAGTCACTCAGGTAAATCAGATTGCATATTTATGTTCTTCACGTATTTTTATTACAACACATCTGGTAATAGTTTGAAGAAAAATTACCTTTTGAAGATGTATTAAACAAAGCTCAGGCTTGAGGCCTGTTGAAAACAGCAAAGGGTACTTACTGTCTTTGTGTAGAAGGCACTGCTGAGGAGATGTCATGGTTTAACCCCAGGCAGCAGCCAAGCCCAAGTGGGAGCAGCCACTCACTAGCTCCCCCACCAGAGAGTTTGGGAAAAGAATCAAAAGGGTAAAAGTTGGAGAATTCATGCATTGAGAAAAAGACAGTTTACTAGGGAAAGAAAAGGCCATGCACACAAGCAAAACAAAGAAAGGAATTAATTCAATTTTTCCCATGAGCAGGCAGGTGTTCAGCCATTTCCAGGAGAGCTGGGCCCCGTCATGCAAAATGGTTACTTGGGAAGACAAACTGCATCAGTCCAAATGCCCCTCCCTTTCCTGCTTCTTTCCCCCACTTTATACACTGAGCTTGGTGCAACATGGTCTGGAATATCCTTTTGGTCCATTTGGGTCACCTATCCTGGCTGTGTTTCCTCCCAATTTCCCAAGCACCCTCAGTCTACTCACCATCATGGCAGTACCAAAAGCAGAAAAGGCCCCCATTTCCTGCTATGACTCACAGTCATGTGGCTTGCTGCACATAGCTTTCAATAATTTGGGTTCCTAAGCAGAAATTAATATTTAAATTGTATGTTCTTAGGAGTTCACGATTTAGTGAGGTAATTATTACATGAAGAACAATTTCTGGATTCAGATTTTGTGACTAGTGTGATGAGGAAAGCACCTGAACTACTGTACCAAAAACTGACTTCTGAAAATGAAATAACTGTGACAGCCCTGGAGATATATTCTGTATACCCATTCTGCAAATAAGACTCTTAAGTCAGGTATTTGTCTTGAGTTAATTTGAGAGGGAACAGAATTTACCCTGATTAAAAGCAAATGACTATTTGTTATTATACTAAGGTGGCTAGTTTTATGGGCAGAAAACTAATTCTTGATAAAATTGCAAGCCTTTTCAGAGATCTTTCAGGGACTGCCTCATAGCAAATACTTCAAAAGGAAAGTTGGCACGATTAAATTAGCACTACAGGGGAAAATTGTGAACAGTATAGTAAAAAACTAAAACAAAACAACCTTGAAATAAGATTGAGGTGACAAAAGCTCTAAATACTTAGTTTAGTCTAGGAAAAAAACCCTTTTGCTGTTAAATGATTATTTCTCTTTTCCTTCTTGATAAGTGTATTTCAGTTTGCTAGGTTGCAGGTATTTGTTTTTAAACTACAGCTCATCTAGAGCTATTTAAATGTGAATGTTTTGTGTTATTGAGTGTTTTGATGTATCTGATTACTTTTCAGCAAACGATATCACAAGCCAGTGCTGATAAGTATCTTTGAACTTCATTCTTCTGGCTCTACGGCTGTGAGACCCACAGGACAAGCTGGGCGAGTGCTTCAGGGCCAAACTCAGACCAGTGTTCAGTCAATAAAAGTTGTGAACTGTCTGACTGTTTTTCTCACCAGTAAGGGCTTTTAATCAAGGTACCTCTTTGCCAGTCTTTTCATATTTGATGCAGCAAGGCCTAAGGTGCATATCATGTTTTTACCCTTTTCTAAAAAATGACGTTTTTTTAAGTGCTTTTATAATAAAACCTGAAGGGGGAAAAAAGAACTTGGAGCAGTTGTTCTACCTCCAAACTTTATTATTAAGACAAGCACTTTTTATTTACAGAATCTCTAGTGCACTTTTTAAATAAAGAATACAATGTGATTTTTGTCTGAATCTCTTGTTTAATCCACATGATATTAACATCTATGTTCAAGCGAAAATTATTTTTTTTTTCTTGCAAACACTTTTAGTTGCTTATGCAAGTAAGTATAGTTGACATGCTATACTTTATACATGCTTTAATTATATGCTGTATTTAAATGGAGAACAGCAGGGTAGCATCCTTCACACCACAGGGTCCAGTTTATGCTAGGTGAGGTACCAGTCCATCAAATTCTTAAACATTTTCATTTTGCAAGCTAATGTTGCAGAACTTGATGAATACTGTAGGGTTCCAACCATCTGTACTTTAGATCCCTAATTCCAAAACCTTATGATTTAGTGGTCTATTCTTCGTATTCCTGGGATGCTCTGCAGCAGAGTCAAAGAAGGTTGCAAACAGGAGGGAAGTTTGGAATAAGACTTCAGACTAAGATACAGATCACTTTTTTAGTACAAACAGTAAGATTCAGCACAAAATAATGCTAGCTATATGCAAACAGAAAATGCAATTCAATTCCTCCATTACATGATAAAACTATTGCTATGTTATAAAGCAGATCACTAAGATAGACATTTACATAATTTTTCAGATTTTAATTATATTCAGTAATAAGAAAACCTTTAAACATATTCAGCAGGACACTGCCATGTATTAATTCAAGATACAAACAAGAACTAAGTAAATAATTGCTAGCTGTATGAAATATTAATTATCAAATGCTCCTTTGAGGGTATGTATACAGTATTATGCCATGATAGAAAATTCTGCAGACAGCCACCCGTGGTGTTTACACATGACATTTTTGTGTTTCTTCAGTACATAAATAAAATGCTGCAGTGGAAAGGTTTGTCATAATCCTAGCAAGAATTTGTAAAACCTGAATCCCAAATTAGGCCAGATGCTAACTTATTTGCCAAGTGTTAATTGATTTATACACATAACTTTCACTTAGTAAGTTTAATTTTTTTCATGTAGAAAATATCTTATTTACACTTTACATCAAACACAAAGTGGCTTAATTTGCAGTTAGGTCAGGTATAGAAATTTTATGTGGTGAATCTTGCTTAGCAGTTTTAAGCTACCAGTCAGCCATTTATTCTTAAATTTTTTACATCTCTATTTAGCAAGCATTTGAGAAAAAAGTAACCATTTTAAGAGTGTAAGTTCTTCTCGGGTGGAAAAAGTTGTTCAACTTCAAAATCTGATTTTTGTTTCCCAAAAAGATATTTGAAAGCCAGTTTCCATCTGGCATGTAATTGCATGATATATACCATGTTTTGTTGATGAACTTATGAAGTGACCCATTTCCTGGAGTCCATGCCAATGCTAATTGAAGCTCTGATCACTTCTGCAAGTAAGAGAAAACACTTGATTGGTGTGTTCTGCTTTGCACAAGGTCTGACTAATTGAAGGATGGCCAGTCACAATTTAACTGTGTGTGCAGGAGATGAGGGAAGCTGTTTGCACGTCTGCCTTTGGAAACCTTATGTCTAAATGCATTTTCTCAAGCAGCCTCACCCCTCAGGAAGGGCAGTCCCAGAAAAGAAGGAAGTGTCCTCCACCCCTGCCCTGGCCACAGCTTCCCAGCACCAGTAGAGCCTTCAGCACGGCACTGCAGTCTGGCAGAGGACACGGTGCTGTGCTGTGCATCAACTTACCAGCTAAAGGCTGAAGTCCTGCTTCTACCAGACCTTCATACAGGTGTTTAACGGGATGAGCCAGCAGTGTACCATGGAACCAGATGAGCAACATTATCTTCCCATGTTCCCTGTAACTTTTTTTCCCTATGTAATACACAAAGTATTTGTTCAATAAGCACAGTGTATTTTGTGCTTTTTCACTTTAAAAGTTCCAAGAGGTTTTAGACTTACTTCTTTACTCTTGCTACCTTTCTCATCTAGCAGAAAAATTAAGACTGAAGCTTACAAAAGCTTTTTTAAAAAATCTCATTTTATCTTAGCACTACTGTTAAGACATTTAAAAAACCTAATACATCTTAAAATTAATTTTTTCTTTCATTTTTCCCCAAGCTGTGGAAATATACCCTGGAGCAGTAGTAAGAAGTACAATACATGCTGTAGAAGTACTGTCTTCCCAGCACCTGAGAGACCTGAAAACAGAAATTCCTGTTTCATGGCAGCTGTGCAGACAGAGCATGAGCAAAACTGCTCTGCCATGAGGTTTTCCAGGTCCTGACTTGCAGCATGACCCCCAAGACCTTGCTGTGATGCTCAGGGCTTCTAGTTTTGATCTCCAAAGAGGAAGGTTCCTTCAGGCCAAGAGAGAGAGCAGAAGTGTCCTGTACTGCTACAGCACTGCTTCCCAGGAACCAGGGACAAGGCTTATACCCCCTTCACTATGGGGTACTCACATAGTTTAAAAAGCAACACTGCCTTGTGGGGTTTTTCTATCCTATATATTTTGTCTGGCCATTCAGATATTGCTACCTGTCCACTGTTATTCAATAGTTTTAATTTGTTCATCTGTGAATTTCCAGAACACAGCCAGTTTTTTCCATTCACGGGGTTTTAACTGGTTGTATGCTAGACTCCAAAGGGAGGAAGGGATTTGCTTGGTCTGTGTGCTGTGATCTTGTTTGAAGGACACGCTGAGGTCTGACCCATTACCACTATGAGCTAGATGTGTCTGAAAAAGAAAGCAGATGATAAACTGTGTAACAGAGCTGGGAACCTTTGATCAGTGAGGTCCTATACAGATGTAGGTGCTGACAGATGATTTACTCAGTGTCTGTAGAGGAAGTTTGTATGGGTTGTAGAAACTGAAATAAGGAGTTCCAGTGTCTATTGCTGTGTATTACTGAGTTAATTGCAAAATAAGCCACTTTCTCTGGTACTTGCTAGACAAAAGCAAAGTAACAGCAACTGTTGTGTCAAGCACTGCTGTGCTGCTTGGTTCTGTCTATGTCATGTTTAGAGCACAGCTGGGTTTCAGGCACAGTTCTCACCATTTTCTCTTGCTTCTCAAAGCACTAATCTCTTCCTGGGGAGAGGGTAGACGCCATGGACACGGTGCCTGCTCAACCTGTCCCTGCACCTGGTCTGTCAGCTTCACTTAGCTGAAGTGGGGACTTCAGTTTCTTTGCTGGCACCATTAGCGATTAGGTTTATCACGGGGACTCCCATTCAGCAAAGTGTCTAAACACCAATGTGCACATGTGTGTTGAGCATGGTTCTAGTTTCATTCCTGCATAAGTAAAATCAGATAGAAACCAAAACCACGTGGATTTTACCCTCCTGATTAAAAGTGATGTTGCTACTGTACACTTTTTGTTTGGGCACCTTGGCAAAAACCATTGTCAATCAGTGATCAGCTGTGATCAATGATCACAGCTAAGCTGTGCCCAGGAACATTCCTAGGTAGGTAAGCTCTAGCTGTTTCTGTATTTCATTACGTTTATGTACTAGTCCTATTTCAAATAGGGAAAGAATTTCAAAGGGAAGAAATTTCTTTATTAATTTGATAGAGAATGACAAAGCAGATACTAAATGACAGGAAAATGGCAGTAGGTCACATTTTAAAAATACTAAGCATAAAGTGCTTCATTCCAAATTAAATTCAGAAAAACACAGCAGAGTTATTTCTTAACTTCAAGAGAGACTTACAGAGAAAAAAAGTGGCAGTTCAGTAACCAAGCATTGTCATGTTTTTTATGGTTCCATTCATCTGATGCAGACTTTATTTCATGCTTCTTAACATGCAGAGTAAAGTTTAGGACATTCTACAGGACAGCATCAGGGTGTCTCTGATTAGATCATTTGCTTGTGATGTTTAATAAAAAAAAAAAGGCACATGAAAAAAAATCTCAAGCAAACAAACAAACAAACAAAAAAAAACCAAAAACAAACAAGCAAACAAAAAACCAAACTAAAAAACCCAAACAAAAAAACCAAAAACAAACAAACAAACAAACAAACAAACAAAAAAAACCCTTTGCAGCAGCACAGCCTCCCTTTGCTGCTAAGTGTGTTTTGAGGCAACAGCAAGGTAGGATAGTAACAGCTACCCTCAAATCCAGTTAAACCCAGCCTGGACAATGATAGGGAAGGGTTGGGTAGAAGTGATAAATAGAGAAGAGGGCAGAGAGATGACAGTCATGCTTCAGTATCATGTGCCCTTCCTCTCAGCTACATAACATTTCCTTTTGTAACCAAGGCTTTGTCACAAATGACAAGTCAGCTGAATGCAACAAAAAGACAGTCCTTAAAATAACGGTTCAAAATGCTGTAGTTCTGGTATGGTAACACCACCAGCATCATATTCCATAGCTGTAAGATTTAAGCTGCTCCTGCACTCTCAGCTTCAGGCAACAGGAACAAATATTTACATTTTATTTCCCAACATCTCTGGTGCTTTGCAGAAAAGCATCTGCTTAACACCTTTTATTTTCTTCAGAAAATTCAGTGAACTATGCCAAGTGGTTGAGAATATTATGGGCTTACTGCTGTCAGATTTCTCATGTATTCTGTGGCAACAGACTATTTCTAATTCCTCTTTAAACCAAAAGAAACAGAAATGTACCTGACAATTCTAGCTGAGCTGGTGCAAATCAAATGCACAATACAGCGTGTTCATGGATTACTTTTGCAGTAATTAATCTAGATCTGTGATTTACCAGCCCTGTAACATTAAGTGTCAGGATTTGGCCACTCAGGACAGGAGTGAGGTGGTAAAACCAGCTAATCCCTGTACCTTCTCTGGGACAGGATCAGTATGCTTATACACTTGGCTAACTCAGCAGAAAGCAGGAGTGAGAACGAAATCACAAATTGATATGGCAGTTACTTGTAGCCCTTTAGAGAAGCCCATCACTATGCAGTGTACTTTTAAGTAACAACTAGGGAAAGAAGGTGAGAAATTCAGACAACATAAGCCATGTCCTTCACACTTGTTGTGAAATTCTTCTCCTTCTCATTGATTTAATTTTATAGTTAACAGACAAGGGACAGAAGAAGGAGCTTCTGTTGAAGTAGCTGAGCTCTTGCTAGCGAAGGACATCTTCACTCTTATTTTTCAACCATAGATTTTACTGTACCAAAGGATCCAGGAATCAACATGGATCCATGTTATCCCATGATACTGATGGCACAGTTTGGATTTGGCTTAGAATCTCTCTCCATCCCTTTATGTGTACAGCACAAGGCAGGAAAATGCTAAGATCTGCTTACAGTTTTACAGCTAGTCAGGAATAAATCCTGGATGGGCTAGAGACTTTCCCATTTCCAATCCTAACTATTGTTCATCAAGGCCAGTCTTGCTGCCTGCCAAAAGGAACCACCTCAGCCAAAAGGGAGTTCAAAATCAGAACTGGCTTTTCCCTTAGGTATCTTGTGTTTAATGAAAGATGACTCTTACCTGTTTCCTGGTAAAATACCTTTCTGCTTTAATGATCATGTCTACAATGAGGGCATGATGGCTCCTTGATGCTATGGCTAGTGCAGTTTTCCCATGCTGAAAGCAGAGACAGTGAATCAGAACATTATCTTGGGTAATAGAAGAAAAACACAGGGGCTGATTACAGGGCCCATCTGTTTTTTATGGCGTTTGGGTAGCTACAATCCAAGTCCCATGCCCTGCATAAGCTGTGTCACCTCAGCCCTGGATGGTCAGTTTTCTCACACACTAAACTCCCCAGAAACCTGCACTCAGACTTGCATACATCATACCAGCTTGCACGCTCCAGTCACTGCGTCCACATTCAAACTACCACAAATACAGCCCATTCCCATGCTATGGCTAAACTGGCATTTCAGGTGGATAGGCTGGCAAAGCTGGCAATCTCCAACTTACAGGGCAAACCTGTGCCTTGTTTTAGATGGTAAGAGAAGGTGGCTCACAGAATTAAAAGGAAATTATTTTCTCATTACAGCTGAAAGGAGCACAGCTGTAGGATGATGCTTCATGGGTCACAGTTATTCTAAGCCACTGCTGTTAACACCAGCTGCAGAGGTTTGCTCAGTCTACCTGAACCCATCTCTCCTACCAGCACTTTGATGCACAGGCATCATGGTGGCTCTAAAGGGATTTCTCTGCAATTACCTGTTTTCAGCAGATCTGCACTGAGTGCAAATGCCTGGGATTTATATATTAGTATCATTCTCCACATAAAAAGTGCTAGGCATTTCTAAAAAATTAGATCTAAAATAAATCAATCCCTTAATTAGAAGGTTCATTAATGAAATTATAAGGTATTTCAGTTCTCCAGATAATATAAAGTTCCCTAATATACACCTTTTGAGTTAGCTCCTGGCTCTGCTCAAGATCATCCTAATTAACCTGTTTTTAGAAGAGCATCACATCAGGAGCCAATGAACATGCATTTCATTAAATCTTTTGCATAGACATATTTTATATGTGAAGAGTCCAGAGACCACAAGAACTCTTTGGGCTCACCTCTGGAGGGGTGCTCTGCGTTTCACAGAGGCAGAGAGAGGCAGTGGATAAGGGAGGTATTTCTGTACCCCTGTGATAGTGTAGACACTGCTGGCATCCTGCAGGCACATGCAGCACAGCAGTCTGGCACGGGGGAGCTCTGTGCACTCACTACCAAAGACAGAGTGCATTTCCTGACCTCTGACAGGAGCAGATGCATGGCATTCTCTGCTCATGGCATCCTGCTGCCAGGACATGGAGACCAGAAAAATACTGTGCAACCAAAGCAGGCTCCCCTTCTTCCTGTCTACTCTTCACCAAGGACAGTAACATTTTTGGCATCCCAGCACCAATTCAGTTCAAAGGGCACTGTAGTTGCAAATGTTCCCAGCAGTGGCATGGTCTCAGGGGTCATCTAGCAAATAAGCAAGGAAAAAGCTGCTCCAGGAAAGAAAACCACTGCAGAAAGGTGACTTGTTCTAGAACTTGCACTGGCTCAGAACCAAACATGCTCTATCAGTTTTGCTGTAATACAAGGGCACTGCCTCCCCCAGAGACTTGTAGGTGCTTAAGGTCATAGGCAGTAAATAAGTTTTTGTGTCTGCCTTTGAAATACAAAGGTTGAAAAAAATTTCCCAGTAGCCAAGGTGCTGTTTAAAGTGGACAAGATTTCGTTCTGGGTTGATCCCTATGAGAACTGCAGCCCTTTGGCAAGTGTAGGCATGATTCTGAATGGAAAGGCTTAAATACAATGCAGCATCTTACCTCAGCATCCCAAAACATACCAACTATGCAACCCACACTCAGAGCTCCAGGCCGCATGTCAGGCTAGGGCAAAACAAGACAATCCTAATCCATAAAGCTTCATTTCTCATCAGGACAGTTTCGGGCAGGAAAGTTACTTTTTAAAGTTACAAAAGGATGAGATTTTGCTCATAACATACATCAAATCCTTCAACTCAGTCATACAGAATATCAAGAAAAGTAGTAACAGGGAACACTCAAACTTGCAGTAATTAAGCAAAATATGTAAATACTGGGTTTGGTACTCTGTTCTTTCAAAATCACTTCCCCAGCAACTTTGCTTTGGTACTTCTTCCAGACATTACCATTTTTGTTTCTATCTTTCAGGCAGAACAGCATCTCAGGGTTTAAGTATCCATCTGAATGGATCTGGAATGTCACCATGATTCTCAGATGACCTGGAGTGCTGAAGGGCAAACTCTCCATCACTGCACCTGATGAAGCTGCATCTCTCCTGGCACTGAGCACGGCTGCAGGTGTGCAGTTACGAGGAGCCACAGGCCATTTTCCCCACTGCAAGTCTAGACCCTTTTTCCCATAAAAGGTTTCTGGAAGCAGTGTTTACCCTTCAAACCACAGAGCTTGGGAATTTTGCAGCTTTTCACCAAAACCATCAGATTTCTGCAAACTGCAGGTATAGCAATATAAAAAAAGACTTCTTTTGTAGTTAGCTTTACTTAGCAAACACAACTAGCAATGTGTGCTTTATGCACCTCTATCAGGAAGATTATAGAACAAAAAATATAATAATGTAATCCTTATGTTTGTGAGGAATGCAATTTACCTTATCCATGGCTTTGAGATTGCAGCCTGACTTCAGCAGGACTTCCACCAACTCCACATTGCCAAGATCAGCTGCCAGATGCAGAGGCGTTTCCTGCCTCTGGAATTGGAGACACCAAATAAATGCATTGAGTTCAACTTACTCCTAGAAATAGCATGTTCACAGACTGAATCTAAAATAGATTCTCCATAAAAATGAGAAAATCATGAACAGGGAGAAATCATTTAAATTCTGCTGGTTTTGTTTCAGGCAGACAAGACAGCATATGGCATCTCTGCAGGAAAACCAGGCAGAAGTTCCAGCTGGCTCAGGAAAGGGTTGTTGTTATGCCCCTCTAATGTATTGTAAACTAACAAGCTTGCTCTAACTCTTCCCTCTTAAAGCAAGGTGCTTTGGACAGAGGGCTTCATGTGTCTGGCAACCCACACCCATATTATCCTCTCAAGTAAACTTTTCCCTGCTGAAATACATGCCAAGACAACTGGTTATCTACAGTTTTCAACAATACATTATGCCATCGATCCACAATAGAACTTTTTAGTCATCCCTGCCACAAAATGAGGATACACAGCAGAAGTCTACCTACTCCATAGTGGGTTCAGTGAACATTAAACAACATACATACAAAAAACCCAAAACAAAGTCATTATACAAGGCCAAACCATTAACAAGAAATCAGCTAAAATTACATTCACCTTCAAGTAAATCTTTGAGTTTGAAAGGAGGGTTATATAGTCTCTACATAGCTACATATACCCAAATATGTATTTTTTTATTCTTTTACGGAAATTAGAGTAAGAAAATCCAGATATCTGCAGGTGGAATGCAGCAGCAAATATTGGAGCAATTGTGGAAGCCCTGCATACATGGGAATGTTCCTTAGTATGTTTCTTGGGACACATACTCCTAAGTTGAATGTTTTTAGCTTGTGCTTCTATGACATTGCAAGTTTACATTCTATAGGTCTGGTTAGAGAATTCTTTGGCCTTTAGACCTTAATTAAAGGTTTGCACACTAAGAAACACCAGACTCAGGGTTCCACATTAGAAGTCTCATCAGTTAATTTTACAGTTTACACTATGATCCCACAATCTCATGTATTTACCTTACTTTTTTATTCCCATTAATAAAAAGTATTTTTTAAATTCATACACCCTACTTTCTTTCCTGAAGAAATTTAGGGATTCATAAGTACCTACTGTAGACAACTTCAGGCAAGTTAAAGACATAGTGCAAAATATTTCTAAAAGATGTGTTGAAGAAATTTACAGAATTCTCTGTTTTATATGACCAGAAAGTCTTGTCATTATACTTTACTCCAACCACAAATGACAGCCTCTGTCTTATGCAAAAATGGTATAAATCTCTGGCAATAAAATGAACAATGGGAAGGGGTGAACCACAGATTTCTCAAAGACTCATTCTTGTTGCTATTGTGGGGAGCACCTCTACATGTCATGAGGGAGACCAGGCTGCATTTCCCCAGCAGTGAGCCACAATGCCCCCTGAATGGGGCTTGAGGGGCCTGCTGGGACAGTCTTTCCACTGAGATGGATGGCTGAGATGTAGGGCTGCTGGGAGGTTCTCTTTGAAGTGCCACAGGTGCCAAGTGTGTCTGTACACAGCTGGGTCATTGGAGTCTGTGTGGTCAGGAGCCAGTGTATGTGAGCTCTGTATGGACAAAGGGTACTGGATGTCACTGACATTTTTGGAGGCCTAGCTGTTAGCCAAATCACTGGTCCATCTCAGATAACAGATACCTTATGTGGTAGTTTACTTGCCTTGCTGGTTTGCAGTATCTTCTTTGAGGAGACATTTTGCATTCATGGTCAGTAAGAGCATCTCCAGAGACTGTAATGATCCCCTTGTCAATTCCTTAGTCCCTAGAGGTGGACTCCCAAGACTGGAGCAGTCAGGTAGCCGTGTGTTTAATTTGTCTTGCTGATGGATGAATACTTGCTGCCTACCTAAGAGGTCATTCAGAGATGGACACCAGGTAGTTTTGCTTCTGTTGTCATTCTAGTATTTTCCCCTTCCTGTCTTGCTACAGGCCAGGCTGCCTCTTTTGAATATTCCCTCTTTGTCCCCTGAGCAGGAGCTGCTTTTTCTTTTTCTAACCAAATCAGCATCTACTTCCATCATCTTTCCTTGAGTTCAGG